TGCTGAGCAGGGAGCCTGATGTGGGACTCGATCCCGGGACTCCAGGATCATGACCTGAGCCGAAGGCAGTCGCTTAACCACCTGAGCCACCCAGGTGCCCAATAATACATTTATTTTAAACTCTGTATCTAGTATAAAAAATTAGCCTTTACCTATTAATGGATTTTTTTATAATTAATAGTTTCATCTGCATTATTGATATGCAGCTCCTGATTATTGTGGTACTTATTTCTTCTTGCAGTCATAGACAACACTTCTTTGAAGCTTCTTGATAAAAGTTAAAAAATACATAATGAACTAGATCCACAATTTTTTTTTATTGCTTACAATAAAGGCAATTTCAGTTGAAGCCCACAGGGCTTATAGATGATATTAATATTTTATCCCTATGCAACTTTACATTTTATGTTCTCTTCCGATGATGTCTTTCAGCCTTTATCTTCCATTTTGATCCATTCTCTACCCTGCTGGCAGAATGATGTTTATTATAGTCCTATTTGATCATGTTAACTGCTGTACACCCAATACTACAAGATAATGCACAAAAAAATCTCCTCGCTGTAGCATCCTGCCAGGCCCCACAGTTACAGCTTGGTCCTCACCTGACTTGACTTGTCATCACCATTTGACATAATCCGTTGCTCCTACTTCTTGAAAATGTCTTACCAGCCTCACAGCTTACAACTGCCTGTATACACAGGTCATTCTCAGGTATATAGCTTCAGCCTGACCATTCCTCTGGGTTCCAGGCTCCTATATTCAACATCCCAAATGTAATACAGTTTAAAGAGAAGCCTTGTACTAAGTCCCTTAATCCTCCTTTTCCCCTTGTCTTCCCATCGCAGCTGTCTATGTCAAAGACTTAGGAAATTTCCAGAACTCTCTTGCTGTCATACCCCACTCCCTGGGCTGTACCTCTCATCATTGTCACTGAAGCCACCCTCATCCAAGCCGCCATCATCCCTCGCCGATTACCTTCACTGGTATTCTTGCACTCGCTACTGTCAGCAGCCAAAGAGCTCTTCTTAAAAATGTAAACCATTACTTCTCCTCTAATGGAAAACATCCAGTGATTCTTACAGCATTCCACATGAAACCAAAAAGTCCTTCTCTCATGGCCTACAGGGTTGTACATGATCAGCCCTTGATAGCTCCCTGAGCTCAGTCTTCCACTATCCCTTTTGTGTTCTCTTCTCTGGCTACACCCTCTTCTTCTTCTTTGAGCTTCTCTTCCCCGAAATAACTGAGCGGCTCATGCTCTCACATCACGCATGTCTCTGCTCAGATGTCCCTGTCTCAGAGGAGCTGTTTGTGATCACCCTTTCTAGAATAGCAACTGTATCAGTCAGGTATTGCTGTGTAACAAACAACCATAAGCTCTCAGTGGCAAATAATACTGTGCAACTGCAGGTCACCTGGGGGTTGGATAATCTAGGCTGGGATTGGGTTCTTGTTCTCCTCTGGATCTGTCTGGGGTTGACTTCTTAGTGTAATAGGAGCACATACCTGCTTCACATCTTTCATTCCTGTGTCCCTGGGATATGGCCTGGAACAGGTGCTCAGTGAATGTTTGCTCAGTAAATAAGTAAAGAAATGAACAAACGTCATAGAGACTAAGACAATACATAGATAGATTAGAGGTAAGTAGAATAATTCCCTTCACTTAGCCTCTTCTGGTATGTAAACTAATTGACACAAGAACCTGAAATAATTCTGGCATCCCTTCTGTTTTATTTCCACATGTTCAGATCAAAGAACAGGCACATGTTTCTCGGGCCTGGTGAATGGCCGCTGCGCGCAAGAGCTGCCAGGCAGAATGACGAAAGTGCAGTGCTGCTGTGAGCCTAGCCGCTGCTGGGGCGTCGGAACCATTCCCGAGGCCTGTCCCGTCAGAGGCTCCGGTGAGCGGCCGACTGCTAGTCTGCTCGGCGCAGGCAACGTTAGGAAAAGCAGTAACAGCCCGTGTGCTTCGTTCTTTTCCTTGAAATCAAGTCATCTGTGTGTTCCTAGCACCGTCCTCACTCTGACTGTGGTGTTTTTGTGAGGGACAGGGCGACATTGTTTATTTGGGATCAGTTTTGACTTTGTACACTTGGTTAATATCAGAGGCATTCCCGAAAACGGATTAGGACTTGTCTTCGTGCAAGTATTTTTAAAAACTATTTTGAACATCAGTATTTGCAATTCAGTTTCCAAATCTCCTGACCTTTCACTTCAGAGCTTTGAGTATGTTTGAGTAACTTTATTTATATTTTATTTCAGGAGTGCCCCTATTTTCTAGTATCCCAATCCCTGAAGAGACCTCCTCTTTTCTAATGACCTGAATGTTAAGAGTAAAAGGGTAGGAGGATACATACCTCTCATTCACTTTGCTGTATTGACTAACCATATAACTGAGGCGATATCAGGAAATTACTTTAGGATGAATGAGAAGTAGCTCCTCTTGTTAATGTGATATGAATGGTAAAGTAGGATTAATGTTTATCAGTCACCTAAAGGCACACCAGTGTAGTATGTTTTATTATATTGTCTTTACGTTAAATTATAGTATTCGGAAAATAACTAAACTTTTTGAACTTTGCTTTTCAAGATACGTATCTATGTGTACTATTATGGAGAAAAAGATTAAGGCCCATTCTTTGAAAATCTCTAAGCTGTGTAAAACATCAAAATAGAGTAATAAAGCTTAAAAAACAGCACTATTAGTGCATAGTATATAATTTTGGAAACTCATGGTCTCACTAATAATATATAATAGTAATATTGGTACTGAAAGAGTCGTTTGAAGTAAATAATTTTCATTTCTATCGACCCTAGTGTCCTAATTCTGAGAACAGATGAAGAAATAAGTAGATTGTTGTCATCTTGTTTCTTTTCTCTCAACTTTGATACTTGGACAAATTAGGTGCAGTTTGAAAAGCTAACTAAACACTGTCTTCTGTTAAGATCCACATATATAAAAAATATTATTCTGAAGCCATACTAATCCCTTAAAGCAAAGAAGGGAGATGGGGGAAATGTGTAAGTGCGATGCTGATGAAGTTTCAAGTAACACCAGATCTACAGAATGAATTACTGAAAGCTTTCATTTTCGCCCACTTAAGTAAATTTCTTGCATTCGTTGTTGTATCTGGAATTTTACGAGTTGCACTTGGAGACATAAAAATCAAACTGCACATATAGACAAGTCTTTGGTTATGCAACTCAGTTAAAATGTGGCAAATAGGTTTTCATTATTTTTTTTCTGAAACATCTATGCTTTTCCCTGGTACTCCTAGCACTGGAAAGAAACCTGGATCAAGAGACAATATCCTACTTATTCAGATCAAATAATATAGATAAGCTCAAATGTTCTTACAGTATACAGATTGCTTTTATCATGCAGAAGGGCATCCATCTGTGTTTAACTGAACTTTCTTTTCTTCCAGAGGAATATCGCAGACTTTGCATGGACGGACTTCCAATAGGAGGGATTCCAGGGAATGCTGGTTCCAGACCTGGGGGCACTGGGGGGAATGGCTTTGCCCCAAGTGGCAATGGCTATGGCCCAGGAGGGACAGGCTTCATCCCCATCCCTGGAAGCAATGGCTTTTCTCCTGGAGTTGGGGGAGCTGGTGTAGGCGCCGGGGGACAGGGGCCCATCATCACTGGACTAAGTGAGTGTTCACTTTTTGTGTAGACTCTTTATTTTTCTGCCTTAAATGATTTTATAATACCTAGCATTTTTTTCAAAAGGTAGGTGTGTGTGTGTGTGTGTGTGTGTGTGTGTGTGTGTAAAAACCTCTTTCAGGGTCTAAAATACAAGGTAGTAGTAAAAAATGCTTAGGAAAATATTATTTTTCTGTTCCATAAACTTTCTAAATTGGAGAAAAGAAGAGTGACCCGGGTTCTCTTTGAAAATAAAGATGAGAGCATGGTCATACTCCAGTCCAGATGACGCCATTAAAGAGCATGTTTTTGGTTCCAGTGTATTTCATTTGGCCGTTTGCAGCTGCCCTGTTCTTACACCCCTTGAATTATTTTCCAGAACCATTTCTCAACTGAGATAAACTGAATAAGTCTTGCTCTGTGCCTATCCAAATATTTTAATGAAATAGCTTTCTTTTCCTCACCGTTTTTTGTTGAGTAACTTGGGCTTCAGGCCAGAACTGGCATTGGTGTATGACATTTAAGTTCATTCTTTTTATAAGAGCTGCTCTTGCTAATAATATTTAATGATGTCCTACAGTGTTATGTTTATTCTTTTTGGCATACAGCCTATTTACTGTATCTGAATATTCAGCACAGTTATGGAAAAAAAAATGGAAAGCATTCAAACGTACAGTAGAACGTTCCTGAAATTTTGAAAAGACATCTTTATGGGCAAAGTTTCCAGATGTGTCACTTAACAAATGCAAGTCACAACCATGTGTCTCAGGAATATTTTTTAGATCCTCAACATTCAGGTTTTGATAAAATATAGATAATGTGAGCCTTTGATATGTACACTTAATGGACTATTAAATATCCTTTGGAAAAAACCAGTTTTAACAAAAGTACTACATGTTGTAATGCTGAAATAACACTTGTGCTTTGATTTTCTGTAGCTATTCTGAACCAGACGATAGATATCTGTAAGCACCACGCTAATCTCTGTTTAAATGGGCGTTGCATGCCTACTGTGTCTAGCTACCGATGTGAATGCAACATGGGGTATAAGCAGGATTCAAACGGGGATTGCATAGGTAAGCTCATGATTCTTTAATCCTTCTTTGTTTTTTTCAGAGCTTTTAGACTACAGGAACAAATTAGACTATATGTCATTTTAAAAAAAGTCTCCCGAAGCAAAGCTGATTTCCAAGCTGTCTCTTCTGTGTGCACGGTCTTCCATATGCTCCTTTAACCTACTGCTGAGATAGCCCCCTTCACGAATCCCCCACTTTTCCCTGTCCTGTATATTGTGACTTCTGTGTCTGCCACTCTCTTGCCTTCCTTCTTAGCTGAGCAGCCCTGGATATATGGTGGTGTATCCACCATGCAGAGGAAGGTGCAGATTGGGAGGAGATAGGGGAGGAGTCACTTTGGACATGTGGAGTGTTAGGTATCTAGGACATTGAGTTATAAAGGTCTAAACCTAAGAGGAGTGTTCAGAGCTAGAGTTACAGGTCGAGGCATCAGTGACATAGAGGCAGCTGTTAGAGCCATGAGGGTGAGTACTGTCACCCACACTGAACCACAGCAAGAGTGGAAAGGTAACAGTAGTACTGTGGCTGAAACCATATGCCACAGCAACGTAGTCCCCTAAAGAAAATTCACTAATAGCGTTGGTGAGACAGCAAAATAATCCAGAAGGTATTATGTTGCTAAAGCCACGCAAGGATACCCTTTGAAGAGAAAAGTAGTGGCAAGTGTGAAATGGGGCAGAAAACTCAAATATAATGAGGGCCAAAAAAATCTGTTGGATTTTATAACGAAGAGGGTTTTGATGATCTCTTGAGAGTAGTTTTAGTTTAGAAGTAGTTTAGCGAATGATCGTGTGTGTGATTCGTAATTAGCATAACCCTCAACACCTGATTTGGGCTCAGGTCTTCTGTTATATAGATGACAGGCCAGGAACAGAGAGTTCATAATTCTACCAGTGTAAACTGAAAAGTTTTAAGGGCACTGTGATTTTGAAGGAAAATGTCAGCCAAAAGTGATGTTTTGGAAAAACCAATCATTCTAAACTGTATACAATTGAGAATGATTCAGTAAGGCTTAAATCAGGATCCTTATGTGCAGTTACACAGGTTTTGCACTGCACAACTATAGAGGGACCATTCACGTAATCTATATAGATGTCACACCTTGGGGTTATGTAGGATATAACCATATGCAGCAGCCCTGGCTGAGCTGATAACTACTGGATGCTTGTTTAAGTGGTTGACCAGGTGGTACTTTTTGGAACACCATGAAATATGGGTATATTTATTATTTAATATATTTATAATTTTTATAATAATAAATGGCATTTATTATTATAAATTGACTTTCCTACCAGAAAACATGATTTGTAAGTATACAATATATAAAATATCTTCTCTTACAGATACATACAAAATTACAGTGTATCAAACTGAAATTTGATTGACTTTCTTTGTATTGTTATTAATATTTGTCATTCATGTGTTACTGCATGATTCACTAACCAATAAAATCAGGCCAAAAGTTTAATCTTTCCTGCAAATTAGCCAAAGGCCACCATTTAGTTCATATTAGCACCCAGGTGTACTTTATTCTACCTAGTAAAACTTTATACCATTGGTATAAAGATGAAATATCTTTAAGGATCAAAAGTTTTTTCTTAGGCTTCCAACCAGCCTCCTCAACCAGGGGTTCCTTTAACGAATTAAGTCCTGCAGAAAGTGATTTCAGTAACTATTTTCTCGATTCTCCCAAGGGTGATACACAGGTAGTATAACTCCAGATGCAAAGGACGTGAGCTAATCACATACAGCGAATGTCCCAACGTAGTAATAGGTCCTTACTTTTCTGAAACCCAGGTGAGAAGAGCTGCTACAACTGTTTTCATAAACTCTGTCTAATGTAGCATTGGGATTGCATGTCTGTACAGTTAATGTGCTAATATATCTCAAACTTAAGTATTTTACCCAAACATTGTTAGAAACAATTTCATCCTAGATTGATCTCACCCCCCTATCCTGCAAAGTTAAAACCCAGGCACGGTTGCCTTTCTAACCATTGTAGTTGATAAAGACAAAGATTAGTATTGGGGCGTATTTCAGAAAATAAGTTTTTAATATGTTTTAATATATTTTTTGAAGATTCATTTATTTATTTTAGGGGTGTGCAGGGAGAGAGACGGAAAAAGAGCAAGTGGGGGGGAGAGATAGAAGGAGAGGGAGAGAGAGTCCCAAGCTAAGCCCAGAGCCCAACGCGGGGCTCAGTTCTATGACCCCGAGATCCTGACCTGAGCCAAAACCAAGAGTGGGTCGCTTTCATCAACTGAGCCACCCAGGCACCCAGTTTTTAATATTTTTAATTCAGTACTCTTTGCAGTGTCAACTTTTGATCAGTTTGAGTTTGACTTTATAAATAAATTGGGATATCAGAAAAAGTTAAGAGGATTTAAGTTAACTAGCATTTTAAATTATAGGAGCATGAGATAAGAGTGGTAACTCATTGCCCTGTGTTTTGAGGAATAACACATTGCCATTGCTGTTTGAGAACTTGTGTTAGATACTTATGAAATTGTCATAATGTAAAGGTAATAATAACTCTATTAAAGGATCAAACATAAGGAAAATAAAATCGGGTCCATTTTGCTATTGTAAGAAGTACTCTTGAGACCTGAAAACAGTTTCATTTACTCACCACGTTTTTCTCTCCTTTTCCTGAGAGTTCTACCCTAAAATGTATTTCTGGAACTCTTTTATGTCTGTATAACGCAACCTGTTAGCAATAGGTTTTAACTCAATTCAAATAATTGTATTTTGGGATAGTAAGAGATAATTCCTGTTTCTCTTGGGCCACAGGTAATCTTAGAACCCTTGCCAATTAAGTGTTTGCTTAATTAGAATATATAATACTTTTCAAGTATTTTATACGAATACTATATATTCTTTATTATTACTTCTATTATTAGTAGTATTTTGTAAGAATACTATTCTTACCCCAATAGTATCTGAGAATGTAACCATTTTGATAATCAACCTCTTTCTCAATAATTTCATTTATTTTAGGAGTTTAAAAATCCTGTGAATTTTGCTTAAAAATACTCAGTCTCCAGTGAAAACATAGGAAGAAACCAAAGCACACAGACTGTAATGTTTAAGTATCCCTGTTCTCTACCTAAGGCGAAACAAAAGGTGATAAGTTGCAAGTACTAGGCTGTGACACCTCAGAATCCAGAGCCATGAAATGTACATTTCTGAACATGGCGGTGGTCATTTGTGATTAGTCTACTGCCAAAACCTTACAGTAATCCCCCAAAACAGATGGGATTGGAAAGTCATGGATTTTAAACTCACTGATAGTTTTTTAGTGAATGTTTTCACTTCCAAAGAAAAAATAAGCAAGTGACCTAGCGTATCTTTCTGTGTACTGATCCTTTGGTATGATCTCTAAGGGGCTAAGGAAATCAAAATGAATTATGGCTGTAATGGAGAAATAATTGGCAAAGCTGTCCTAGCACCAAGGGGCCTCGGGAACAGGTTCTCAGAGAAAGAAAAGGCCCTGAAAAGTGGCCTGGCTTCCTGGAAAGTTGACCTCAAGAGAGGGGGTTGGGTGCATGATATCATGTTCTTCACTAGAATTGAGTTTTACAATGAAGAGCTTTACAATGAAACTTCTGAAAAGGTGCATCTCCAACACCGATATTACGGTACACAGGAGAATTTAAGCTATCTTCAACACTGCAAACTCAAGGTTATAATTCCTATTGGAAAGTCCACTAAGTATCCTTTATATGCTTGCTAACTCTCTAAACTCTGTCTTTTCTCATTTTGCTTCATTCCTTTGGCTCAGTAGAATTGATGTTATCAACCGAAAGTTTAAATGTAAGTGAATCTTAATGGGCTGAAGGCGCCCTTGGATGAATTGAAAAAGCATTTAATCCTGTTATTCTCTGTTGTTTTGATTTAATTTGCTATGAGATTTTTTTTGTTCCCCTCCTTTGCCAGAGAGGGCTTAATTGCATTTAGTCTGAGTGTTTATATAAATGAGGTTTGTGAGTTTGATAGATTACAGTTCCTTTTTAAAGAACATCTGTGAAAGGAGTAGTTTGTTTATTAAAATGGTAAACCTGTGAATTCATTTGATTGTTGTGCTCTCCAATTTAGCTGAAATTGTATATGTTAATAGTTTCTACGTGTATATGAAATGGCAAGTCATTATGCCCTCACCAGCCAGCAAGGTTTTTAATTTACTAGCATTCAAAATTATATTTAGTGGGCATTGCTGAGATAAGATGAATTTAACTTTTTTGACTCTGGCACATGCAATTTGTCTGGGCTGTGAGCAGTGCAAACCGTTCAGTCTGCCATTTGGTCTTGCAGTCCCTGAATTCTGCGATGGGCTTGCATTTAATCAAGCCTTAGGAGAACTTGAATGAAAAACAGTAATGTTTCTCACATTTAGGATCAGAACTAATATTTGCATTGAACTTGGTTTATGCAAAAAAAATTCCTGTTCCCATTTTAAGGTCCTAAAGAAACCTGAGGCTGCTGAAGGTAATAGATTTTGTTTTAATTAATTTCCATTTCTATCCCATCCTCTGTTACTTCAAACAGCCAAGCCTCAGTGCATATATAGTTAACGTATTTAATGGAGGACAACACATAATAACAAAGAAATTCTACGGTCTGTCAGTTTCTTTCTTTAAAGCTCATGAAATTGACAGAATGAATCTATAAATATCTATCTTCAAGCATCTTCCATTGGGTTTCCAATACTGCACAAGGCTTTGAGGAGGCTGTTGCCCAGATTGCTACAGATAAGTGTTAGAGCCTTTTAGAACCCATAGCTATGTCTTTCCAGTGCTGGCTTAAAAAAAGGGCGGGGGGGAGGCTTTTTAGAGCTTTTAATCATTGTGCATTTCTCAAATTGAAAAATCATTACTTCTTGATTAAAGCAAATTCCCTTGTACTTTCCAATAGGCAATATTTTTGTAAATCTCTAGACTGGCCTCTGTATTTGAAGAAAGGAATTTTCATTCATTTATAAATACTCCACTCTTTAGACTATTAACCACGGACTGGCCTTCTCTCAAATTTGGGAGGCCTAAATGTACTTTAAACAAACATTTCTAGGAATGGAGGGAAGTCTGTAATGGTTTCTTTTGCCACTCACAGATGTTGACGAATGCACATCAAATCCCTGCACTAATGGAGATTGTGTTAACACACCTGGATCCTATTACTGTAAATGTCATGCTGGATTCCAGAGGACTCCTACTAAGCAAGCATGCATTGGTAAGGCCTTTTGTGTTCACATATGAAAATGTTCCATGAAATATAGTGACCCGGGCTGTTGAGGTTAAAAGTAAATTTATTAAAATAAGACTTGGAATGAAGTAAGTGCCGTTGTACTACTACAAATTTATTTTAGACTCCCCTCAGACGTGCTTCCTTTATGCATAAACACTATTTGCGTGTATAACCCTGGCAATGTGATATCTGGCTTTGCAGAAAATTTGGTTTATCTTCCTTCTCTAGATCACAGCTTCCTTTCTCCAACTAACATCAGTAGCCTTCCTGCTCTCTGATTAACGGAGCTTAAGATTTATGGTCGTTTTCAACTACTGTTTTCTTTGAACCTCACACATACTCCAACACCAAGTCAGGCCTCGTCTTGATTCACAGTTTTGTTGTTACACGCCCCGGCCACCGTCCTCCCAGCTCTCTCTCAGTGCTGATTCATTGCACAATTCTTTCTGCAGATGACTCCGCTTATCTTCTTTTTCATTTCCTATTCATCCGTGGTTCATTGCTTGGCTAAGCTCACCCCACTGTCTTCATCATGGTGCTCTTAACCCAGGTAGTTTGAAGTTACAGTATTCTTACTCAGCAGCTCACTCTGACTTTAGACATCTTCGACCGTTGTGTCCAAAACAGCTGTACCAGTCTTTCCCCTACACTGACCACCTCTCCCAGCTTCCCGGCACACTCCAGCCCAATTTCCTCTTTCTTTCCCTTTTCAGCTCCTCTAAGTCAGGGCTGTAAAAAAAAAAAAAAGCTGGTGAGAGGTGGAAGTTTGGCTAAAGGAGCAACATGATCTTAGTTATTCCATGTAAAAAAATAAACTGGATGTTGAACATCACATTTATTATCTTATTGTTTTTACCTGTGGTTATTGTAAAAGAATAATATTTGGCCATCCTTCATTGTCCCAGATATTGATGAGTGCATCCAGAATGGGGTTCTTTGTAAAAACGGTCGGTGCGTGAACACAGATGGAAGTTTCCAGTGCATTTGCAATGCCGGCTTTGAATTAACTACAGATGGAAAAAACTGTGTTGGTATGGAAATTTCCTGCTTCCTTGCAAAAGATTTTTAAAGGATATACATTTTTATTTAGAACCATATATGCTATTTCCATGAAAGCTTGCACAACACATATGTGAGAATTCTTCAGATGACTTAGGTAAAATATAAATGCATTTAACACGAGACTATTAAAGTCAAAGGATAAATTGTTTGGAAATGGTATAACAGTGAATAATTTGTTGCTTCTGGAAATTTTCTGTGTGATATATGTTTAATTATAAGTAGCAGTTTTTCTTTGTGGTAATTACTAGCACCTACAGGATTTTACACTTTGCCATTACAACACCAACAGGTTAGAAAAGGTCTCCTCCTGACCTCCAGTCTGGGGGAATATAAAAATGTCTGGCATGTGTGATAATCAAATCTCTAAACCTGAGGTCCTATGATGTCTGGTACCAGTAGATACCAGTACACCACAGAAATACTCAAGTCACACAGCAACACATGATATTTCAGCTACTAATCAAAGTCCAGATTATTTCACTCGCAGTGACGTTTATCATTGCTCTATTCTCCCTTACGGAAGAAACTCCCCCCACCCCCCGAAATCATATAAACATTTTTGCTAACCAAAGTAAAGCACATCTCATGTGGTTTTAATAACAACTAAGCACAACATTTACTTAATTCTTTTCCTTTATATCCCTTATGCTAAAGGCCCCTCACGTTCACCACCCTCTCTGCTCTCACTTGGTTGGCATTCATATTAGAAAGAAAAAAAAAAATCAATGAGCACATGGCTCACTTATGTAGTGGAATGTGATTGGTGGCTATTTGTGGAAGAAGAGAGAACTGGTTCCCACAAGGCCAGTGGCATAAGTCATTCTGCTCTCCTTCTGCAGATCATGACGAATGTACAACCACCAACATGTGTTTAAATGGGATGTGCATTAATGAAGATGGTAGCTTCAAGTGCATCTGCAAACCAGGATTTGTCTTGGCTCCAAATGGGCGTTACTGTATTGGTATGTATGGCTTTGAGATAGGAAAGTAGCCATGATTGAAACCATCTTTTTTATTTGAATGAATCATGCAAGAATTACTTCCGTTTCTTCATGTGGATTTCATATTATTCACATCTCTTGGTAATTCAGTAAGGCAGGTGTCTAAAGCTTCCTAGAAAAACACACATTGTGGTCTAGGGAACAGTAATATCTTTACAAAAATAATAATAATGGTGTAGGAAAAATTAAGGGAATGACAGATTGGTTCTAGCAAGTCTGGAAGAGACAATGTAGAAATAATTTCTCTGTACTCCTTGCCTAAATAAAAAAAAAAGGAAGAAAAAAATCTTGAAAGGTTTTCTTTTTTTGTGCCCTGAGAGCTAGATTTTCCACTATCATTCATTACTTGTTTCGTATTACATTCTTTCCATAAACTAATCTACAGATCATGACTATATCATTATCTAAAAATCTTACATTGTGACTTAGTGAAGAAATAATTTGAGTGTTCCTAACAATTTTGTTTATAAAGCCATTTTGAAGCCTAAGCTCTAGCAATAACCTTAGAAAGCAAAAGAAGTGCCTCTTGGAAATAAGATTATATCAGTTTATACTCACAATTTTAATTTAGGAAGTTGGAACAAGTTTTGCAGGTTTTTTTCACTTCTCTCCTTTTATATGAAATGAACTCTTTGAATCCTTTCTACCTTCCACTGCACAAAATTATCTGAATACCATTAGTACTTATAGCCAGTTCCTATAATTTCAACAAAATTCCAGAGAGAGTTGAGGAAGAAAGATCAAGACTGATTCTTTTATTTCTGAATTTAAAAATGCTTCTTGACTATTCAAGAGAGGGGTGTATAGTATTCAATAGAAAGGTTGTAGCTCTGCTATTTTAACTCATGACTGAGATGCCATCTCAAGGTTTGCTGACTTGGATTTGACACCGGATTTGAGTTTAGTGTTATGTTCCAGGGTGTAACAGTTACATTACAGCATATAACTTTATTTTAGCATTTCCTAAGAAACTTCCACACACATATAAAGATGACCTCAACAGTTTCTGCTGTCTTGAAATTTTTTTATTTACTTCCTAATTACTGATATTGTAATCTGCAAATCTTAAAATGTTCATGATTTGGTGGCCCTGTGTTTTGAAGGCTGTTTCATCTTTCAGGGAAGCCATTCATTGTTGGGTGACATTTGATAAACTTGAGCAGATTGAAAATTAGGAGAGATGCCCCATGGGGCGCCTGGGTGGCTCAGTCTCAGGGTCATAGGATTGAGCCCCACGTCAGGCCCCACACTCAGCAGGGAGTCTGCTTGAGATTCTCTCTCTCCCTCTCCCCCCCAGCCACATGCTCACTCTCTCTCTAAAATAAATGAGTAAGTCTTTAAAAAAAGAGAGAGAGATGGTCCCATATTTTGTTATTATGAATTGATCAACTTAATATTAAAACAACATCTCTCTTGGGCGCCTGGGTGGCTCAGTCGTTAAGCGTCTGCCTTTGGCTCAGGTCATGATCCCAGGGTCCTGGGATCGAGTCCCACATCGGGCTCCCTGCTCCGCGGGAAGCCTGCTTCTCCCTCTCCCACTCCCCCTGCTTGTGTTCCCTCTCTCACTGTGTCTCTCTCTGTCAAATAAAGAAATAAAATATTAAAAAAAAAAAAATCTCTCTTTAGTTTGAATTTTATGTGTGTGTAAATAAAAGCAAATTACAAACATTTACCTTGGTTTTAAGAATATGTTTCATTTAATTAACTTAAATTAAATATCATTTAATATTAAACAGAATTGGCAGATAAATAATGAAAAATGAGTGTGTGAGGCTCTTTTTTCCTCTAATGGGTAAACTGAGGCAACTTTCAGTCAGTCTTTCTGAAAATGTGTTTGAAAGAGTTGCACTGGACACCTGGGTGGCTCAGTTGGTGAAGAGTCTGCCTTTGGCTCAGGTCATGATTCCAGGGTCCTGGGATTGAGCCCTGTGTCAGGCTCCCTGCTTGGCGGGGAGTCTGCTTCTCCTTCTCCCTCTCCCCCTGCTTGTGCTTTCTCTCTCTCACTCTCCTTCTATCTCAAATAAATAAAAATCTTGAAAAAAAAGAGTTACATTTAGCTATAAGATTTGTTATCATATCTATGTGTCCTTCCACAAATTATAAAGTGGAAAACAAAAGGTTGACAGTCTAGAGTGGTGAAAACAGGTAAACTCTGTAATAAGGTTAAATTTACTCAATAATGACCTGTGTTGTGCTTCCCTCTGGGCAGATGTTGATGAATGCCAGACCCCAGGAATCTGCATGAATGGACACTGCATTAACAACGAAGGCTCCTTCCGCTGTGACTGTCCCCCAGGCCTGGCTGTGGGTGTGGACGGACGCGTGTGTGTTGGTAAGTGAACCATTCTGTAATGGCCCCAGTGTCCGAATGGTCTTTGAAAAACAAAGATATGTCCGTACAGTGGAGAAGTATTCAGTCATAAAAAGGAAGGACGTATTGATAAATGTGCAAGTATGAATGAGCCTTGGAAACATGCTGAGAGAAAGGAGCCACTCACAGAAACCCAGATAGTGTATAATTCCATTCATATGAAATGTCTGAAGCAGATAGAGCTATAGAGACAAAGCAGGTTAGTGTTGCTTACAGCAGAGAGGATAGGGGTGCTGGATAGGGGGATAGTCGCTAAAGGCATTTTTGAGGTGGTGAAATGTCCTAAAATCAGTTGTAGTGATGGTTATATGTATCTTTAAATATACTAAAAACAAAACAAAACTATTGAATTGTATTCTTTAATTGGGTGAATTCTTAGGTATGGGAATTATACCTCAGTAAAGTGGCTTTAAAAAAAGTTTACAGGGAGCCCAGCAAGCTCCTGGCAGAAAGCTCTGATGAGATGCAAGTCAAAAATGCTGGAGAAGAAAAAGAAAATCATCTTTAAATTAGGATACTTGACAGTGTTAGCCAACTGAGTCTCTAAGTGCAATGGATTTAGATTTTGTAATTTATAACAAGTAAGATATGAGATGGAGATTATGGTTAGATTTAAATAAACCCTGTTTTTACTCAAACAGTTTAAAATGTAAATAACTTCTACCGTAGAACTTGGACTTATATCAAAAGGTAGAAATGTTTTCATATAGTTTTTTCTCATCGCTGTGCAGCTAATTATAGAAACAAGCGAAAAGTATGAGAGAGAATATATATTTTATTCTAAACCATTCCAAATTTGCTATTTTTAAAAGGTTATTTTTGCCAAATGGGTTGCATGCAAATCAGTGTTAGCAGGCATTAGCTTTAAAGAGGCAGGAAGTCAAAAGTGTCTTTGGTGTTTCAGAACCCAACCATATGTCCTAATGATAACAGCAGAATGAGTTACTTGTAAAAATATACTTAATGCAGTTTTCTCTCCAGAGGCTTTTCATAAGACCCCCCAGGGTGTGTTAGCCATTATGCATCCTCTATTTCTCAGGTGACTCGGTAAAAAGCAGAGTATAAATGCTATAAAAAGCATTTAAGAGTATAGGTAAGAGAAATGAAATTCTTTCTTAGACATAGAGATAATACTTTACTCTTCCCTATGGGAATCAAAACACTTGGATCCTGAAGGTGTGCGGGGGAGAAGCAACAGCAGATGGAAATAATCTGTGCACTTAAGCTCATCCACTGTCTCCAATCTAGGATTTATTTCAGCTTACAAGATTGTCAGCACTTCGTTCAAGGACATTTTAAATACAACAGCCGGAAGAATGTAGCTCCTCCCTGCTTACCAGAGCTAAAGTATTTTCACTTGCTTTAATATACTTACTTGCCGCTTACCTTTACCTAAATGATTCTGTTGAAATCTATGATGAATACAAAACCAGTCTGGGAGGAAGAAATTATTTTTCCTTTAAGCAACAATGTATGAGTAGTGATGAGGAATACAGTGTTTCAAACACAAATCTTCATTCTCTCATCCACATACAGAAAAGGCATGAGACCTTGTTGGAAAGCCTCCAGGTTTTCACAATTGTGGTCAATTAAACTTTTTAAAATAAAAATACCATTTGTTCTATGTCTGATTATATATATTGCTGTTCCTATCACATGCTAGACGTTTTTTCTTCATCTCTTCTGCCTTTGGTGATGCTTTTGAGATGCATTGATTGTTGAAGTTAGAAATGAATCACTACTATGAACTGTTATTAGGGTTAGCACTTCAGTTTTAGATTTCCCTTCTGTATATTGTTTTTTTTTCCTTAGACACTGAGATATGGGTTTTTTTTTTTTTTTTTCAGAAAAATAAACTATTATTGTAACTAGTATGTTGAAGAAGCATGACGCATAGGCAGAGCATAAACAAAAGGCAACTATATTTTGGTCTCTCCCATCCTTTTAAAATGTATCTTTAAATTTGTTCAGTAGAAGCCATTTACCCAATGAATGAGGAAGAAAACTCAGGCAACCCTATAACTTTACTTCTCTTAAATTTATGTGACAATTTCATGTAATGAAAACAATCTAAATAACTAGAATGCCTGGTACCGTATAATAATATTCTGACCCTGACTTGAAGATACAACATCCTTGAACAGGATGTCTTCTTACTCTACAAGGGTCAAAGAGCCCGAGAAGAGGTGAGAAGGCAGACGCACTGGTGACCATCCTAGGATGGCTTCAAGGTTTCTGGGCTTCCCCAGTGTTTAAAGCACCCCTTCCTTTTGTGGTTCCTCCAGAAGCATTCAGCTGCCCTTCCTGAGATGCATACACTGCCTCACCCACTCTCTGGTTTTTAGCAGTCCAGATAGGCTCTGCCTGATGCTGTCCCATCACCCCTCCACGCCATTGTTTTAGGACCCTCTTTTTATGTGGGCCCACATCTAATCCAAACAACCTGCCCTCCTGTGCCCTGTTAACCTTACGAATAGAGGTGGATGTCACCTGCCCCTCCAGTAGGAATAGCAGCCACTCACTTTTGCCTGTAGGTATCCCAGGCCGAGCTGCTGGGCACAAAGCTCATAACCTGCCCCCTGTGAAGTTCTTCTCTTTGGACCAGTGGTGAGGATGGAAGCACCCCGAACTCATAATCCAGCTCTTGCCAAAAAATTCCTCCTCAAAAAATCCTCTCTTAATTGGGAGGGTTTTCAAGACCTGGCAAGTCATTTTCCATATCCACTTCCTTCAGGATGTAGTCTCAAAATTCACCTTGTTATTTGATATTTAGCACCTTGGGATTTCAGCTTAAGTTTCCTTTTTAACATCCTCTTACATTAGCTTAGGAATATTTTGACATCTTTATCAATACTGTGTGACATTTCTGTTAGCTAAAAGGTGAATTTTCTTTAGCCTAATTGTGCTCCTTACTAGCTTTGTTGCCTTAGGCAAGATACATTACCTCTCTGTACCTCCTTGCCTCATTTGTTTTTTGACAATGAAATAAGTTAATATTAGACTTATTTGTAATAAAGCTTTGAATGGTATCTGGCATTTAACACATGCCCAGTAAGTTAGCTCTTACGGTTATTACTGTTTTATTAAATTAGAATAGCAACATCACATCTAGGGCATAGTCTTAGAGTTGCTGCTTTAAGCAATAAAGAAAAGTTGACACTAAAGAAAGAATAAAATGAAATTAACATTTGGCATCCATACATACTTGACCAGTTATGTGTAGAATCTAAGAAAATCCTTAAAAAAATTCTATTTTTTTTTTAGTAAGAAGAGTGATGGAGGAATTTGATAACCTGGAAAATATATAGCTCAGCAGCATTTTGGTCCAGGCCCCCACCAAAACACTTACGCGATGGTGCTTTCGATGCCTCTTACCCTGTTCACCTGTGAGCAGTGTTTAGTTATAATGAACTAGGGTTCCAGTCTGGTACCTTTAACAGGAAAAGGTTGACTGTTCTCATTAAAAAAAGAAGAGAGAAATGAGGTAGTCACCATGTTTTTTGAGTATTTCCTGTGTGTCTTACACACTGTGCTTAGTGCTTAACAAACAACTCTCATTTATTATGTCACTCTATCCTTATTTAATGGATGAGGCAAGTGTTAAATATTTTGAGTAAGGTCCATCCCACAGGGACCAGAACCCAGGACAATTCATGTCCCCCGAAACCTATACATACGTTATGTTACTTTGTTTTTCTGGCGTTGGGTATTCTAAACAACTTAGATAATCCATAACCCAGAGCAGTATATAATTTGTCTCACTCTTCCAGCGAGTACCATCAGCTTTTTATCGACTTGCTTCTAAAAGTCGTGCAAGGATTATCTTCTCAACATGTACACAAAAATAAATTTGACCGTTCTGTGATGCCTTCTGAGATAATAGATGTTATCCTGAGAACTCACAAAAATCATATTGTAAATCAGACTATGTTCTATTTGTGCATATTTGTCTTTGAGTCAAGTCCTACTCTTATGTGTAACCCGGAGCTGACTTTGCTAAACTCTGTCTCCGCAGAGGCAGAAGGGGACAACATGTCCTCTCTGTAGGGTTGTTGTGGTAAATCTCATGTCCGCTTCCATGTGAGCGTTCACACATCTCATCGTCTAGTGCAGCTATAAATCTCATTGTTTTAATGACAAACATCACCAGATCATAAGAAAGCAGGAGGTGACTCAGTGGGTTACTCTGTGTAATAAGTAGATAAAATTATTTCCATCAAGTTGTGAATAACTATGTCAGTGTAGTGTTTAAAAGCTATGCTGCTTCTCTGGCCTCTTTGGTGATCTGCATTTTTTTTGTTCACCTTTTAACTGTCTCATAAAGTTGTAGCATATTTTATGAGGGTTCAGAGCGAGAGCCTAAGCAGGATATGCTTCTTTGGGACATAGCGTGACACAGCGGTAAGAAGAAGAGCTTTGGAAGTCACATAGCCTGAGTATGAACTCCAGCTTGGGCAGTGGGTAGTCTAGGACTTGGAGCTCCTTGAGGAATACCTCTGAACCTTGCCTTCCTCATCTATGAAATGAGGATAATGATCACTGTCCTGTGGAGCTGTTGCTCAGAATGTTCAACAAGATGATGTCTGTAGGGTGTCTGGGTGGCTCAGTTGGTTAAGCGACTGCCTTCAGCTCAGGTCATGATCCTGGAGTCCCAGGATCGAGTCCCGCATCGGGCTCCCGGCTCAGCAGGGAGTCTGCTTCTCCCTCTGACCCTCCCCCCTCTCATGCTCTCTCTCTCAAATAAATAAATAAAATCTTTAAAAAAAAAAAGATGATGTCTGTAAAACAGCTAAAACAATGCTGAGGACACATAGCAGTGGCTATTATTTTTATCACTGGGTTTTTTGAGAGTCTGAGATTAAAACGTAGTTCAGAGTAGTCAACTGGGGGTTGACAAGAAAGGCCTTCTAACTCAGAAAGTTGAAGTAAGAAATTTCACAACCACGCAGTGTCCTCTCAAGGTTGTTTACTTCCCTGCACTTCATTGTTCCTGAGAACTTCCAAAATAGAAATAACATGTGTCATTTTGAGTATAGGCTAGCCAGTGATTAGAGTTCCAAGTGATGTTTGTAACAGTGGCGTTATACCTGCTTCTGTAAAAGGCCTGGGGGTTAAGTGTGATAATGAATGCTTGTGTAGTGCATAAAACTTCATGGAGGAAAAAAAAAAAAAAAAGAATTGTCTACAATACACATTTGTTGATTTCTGAGCACTGTTAGATGCTAAAGATAAAAAGAAAAGTGGCAGAAGCCCTCCAGAAACTTCCCATCTATTAGCCACTTAGGTTAAAAGAAGCCCTCAGTTTTGAAATCTCTTTATCTCTATCAACATCTCAAATCATTGTTCTTCTACCTCCTTTTAGATACTCACATGCGCAGTACGTGCTACGGTGGGATCAAGAAGGGAGTGTGCGTTCGTCCTTTCCCTGGCGCGGTGACCAAGTCCGAATGCTGCTGTGCCAATCCAGACTACGGTTTTGGGGAGCCCTGCCAGCCCTGCCCTGCTAAAAATTCAGGTAGTCCCATTTGCCAGTTTTGCATCTGGTCAAGAATCTGGAAAGGTAACATTAGGTATTTGGCCAAGGAGTGCATCGGCTCTGTTTTCGGTTGAAGAATTCCACATGTGTGTTGGTATTTGAGGCATATAATGAGATCTGGCCTGTATTTACCTATGATCTCTGGGCAGAGTACACACAGGGAACAGAAGAACGTATTTGCTGACCTAATTAGGATCGTTACAGCAGATTGCTTACGTGGATACCTTAGCCTCACTGTTTTCGATCTTTTGTATCATCGTGAAGATGAATAGCATAAAACCCACTTGTTACTTTCAAGGTTATAGTCGCAAGAGCCTGATTTTATGCATTTTTCATCTTGCCACAGCATGGTCTTAGGCTGCAGTCTTTCAGTAGTTCCAGCAAGTCATAAACATTTTTACCAGTTTATTCACAAATACAGGCATATTACATGGTCTAAGTCTTTGACTATTCTATGACTCTTAGTTATTCATATTTTTCCAAATCTGTACTGAGTTTGTGTAAGTACAGTAGGGATTCAAAAATAAACACAATCTCTTTTTTTCTTTAAATATGGGAATAGTTGAGAGCATAAACAGGCAAGCATATAAACTACAGGTTAGTATGCTTAGTGCCTTAAGAGGGACAGAAACCGAGAACTGGAGAACACAGAGGAAGGAGCAGTAAGTGGTCCCGGAAAGCTGGGAGGGACTTCACGGGGCTGGGGATGGGGGTGGGCATCTGCTCAGTTTGGTCTTGAAAAAAGGAGTAAGAACATTCCAGGTGGAGGGTGGAAGAAATGCACTCTAGCAAAGGGAAATGGCTTGTGATTCTGTTGAAAATCCTAAGTAGATTGTTCAAATCTCAGAATTCTTCTAGAAGGAACTGAGCATGACATTTTTTTTATTTTTTTTATTATGTTATGTTAATCACCATACATTACATCATTAGTTTTTGATGTAGTGTTCCATGACTCACTGTTTGCGTATAACACCCAGTGCTCCATTGAATACGTGCCCTCTTTAATACCCATCACCAGGCTAACCCATCCCCCCACCCCCCTCCCCTCTAGAACCCTCAGTTTGTTTCTCAGAGTCCATAGTCTCTCATGGTTCATCTCCCCCACCGATTTCCCCCCCTTCATTTCTCCCTTCCTACATTTTTTTTTAAAAGAAAGCAGAGTTCGTGTAGGAAATCTTGCCCTAAAAATATTGAAGTCAGCTATGCATATTAAAAAAGAAGTACAAAGACTAGATAAAAAGATGAATGAATTAATAAAACTTGGAATCTAGAAACAGACGTGACTTTAAATGGGAATGCTGGGTACAATAAAGATGCTGTTTAGGTTGGTGAGGAAAGACTGAAATAAGTAATGAATATTGTTGATAAATATTAGAAAAAATATGAAGTTAGCTCCCTGCACTAGACCTTAACAAAGTAATCTCTTATAGGTAGAATATATTAACTTGTTGTTATTTTGTAATAATAAAGGACTTTCAGAGCAGAAACCAAACACTAAAATACACATATAAATTGGAAAAATGTGTTCCGTAATTTATAAGGAATTTGCATCAATCAGTAAGGAAAGTTGAAATCATCTATAGAAAAAAGTGCAGTGTACACAGATAAGATTTCACAAAGCATAAGTGCACGTGGTAGAGAACCACAAGAAAGAATGTGCTAAACTTAAAAGAAAATTAAAATAAAACATCATTTTTGTTTATTAGGTTGGTAAAGTGTAGATGACTGCTTTTGCCCATATGGGTACTCTCTCATACTACTGATAGAAGGCTAACCTGACACATGGAAGAAGAGGAAAACTAGCAGAAGCCTTAAAAAGAGGCATAAATTCTGAGCATTTTTACTTCCAAGAGATTAACCTAGTGATAAAATTGAGTTTCATATTATGTGTTATAATTGTTAAAAGTTGGACAAACCTGATTTCATCCTTAAGAGATTGCTTGAATGAGTGTGGTGTACCACATAACTGAGAAAAAACATTAAATAGTCTATATTTAAATGGGATATTAGTATGAAATGTATATGACACAGTGCAGAGGATCCAAGCCTGTTTCCCGCTTAAACCTCTACGATCTGAGCAAGTCACTTCCATCTCTGTCCCAATTTTCTTAGGTGTCAGAGAAGTGAACTAATGGTATCTAGTTTGTGAATATTACTCAGCTATGAAAAAGAATGCGATCTTGCCATTTGCAACAGCTAGGATGGACCTAGAGGGTATGATGCTAAGTGAAATAAGTCAGACAAAGACAATTACCATATGATTTCACTTACACGTGGAATCTAAAAAACAAAACAAACTATTAAACAGAAGTCAAAGCAGACCCACAAATACAGAGAACAAACTAATGTTTGTGAGGGGTTGAAAGGGTAGGCCAAATGGGTGAGGGAGAGTAGGAGGTACAGACTTCTAGTTATGGAATCAGTAAGTCCCACAAGGATGAAGGTACGGTGCTGGGAATACAGTCAGTGGTATTGTAACTGTGTTTTGTGGTGAGGAATTGTTGCTACACTTGTGAGCACAACAGAACATATCAAATTGTCCAGTCACAATGTTGTACACCTAAAACTAATGTAACATTGTGTGTCACCTACATTTCAACAAAAAATATGCTGGAGTGGTGGGGGCTGGGAGGGATGGGGTGGCTGGGTGATGGACGTTGGGGAGGGTATGTGCTATGGAGAGTGCTGTGAATTGTGTAAGACTGATGAATCACAGATCTGTACCCCTGAAACAAATAATACATTATATGTTTAAAAAAAAAAAAGAAGATATTAGGAAGGGAAAAATGAAGAGGGGGAAATCGGAGCGGGAGATGAACCATGAGAGATGATGGACTTTGAGAAACAAACTGAGGGTTCTAGAGGGGAGGGCGTGGGAGGATGGGTTAGCCCGGTGATGGGTATTAAAGAGGGCACGTACTGCATGGAACACTGGGTGTTATATGAAAACAATGAATCATGGAACTAATGATGTAATGTATGGTGATTAACATAATAAAATAAAATTTAAAAAATATCCAGTTTATAATATTGGGAGGATTAAATAAATTATTAGATGTAAAATGCTAGGATAACACCAGACACATGGTAAATGCTTTTACACGAAGTATTGTCTATTATAATTTTGTTATTGAGACAAAAAAATTAAAAATACATTCTCTACAATACAGTTTGGATTTTTTTAAAGTTTCCATATGTAGAAAATATTTTTTTAACATTTTTTTTATTTTATTATGTTAATCACCATACAGTACATCATTAGTTTTTGATGTAGTGTTCCATGATTCATTGTTTGTGTATAACACCCAGTGCTCCATGCAGAACGTGC